TACTTCGATGAGCCCTTATTAACCACCACACCTACAGCAGCACCATTCGCTGACCGCCAACTCTACCCATTTTTAGTCTGCGCTGACCACAGCAGGTAAATATACATTGTGCAAACCCCGGTAAATACAAAGGGGTAATACGGTAAGCAATTTTTTGGCAATGCTACAAGAATAGGATGATGTGACCACATTTAGGTACGACTATTTCCGCAACATGATGTAGAGTGGTAAATTTTCAATACCCGATGTCATTAAAATATTTATAATTTGGACGTTATAGCCCTTCTATTCATATTCTATCAAATTAGATAGCTGTATACAGTGCTGCATGTTATCACGTTACGAAGAAGTGATGACCAACTAATATCCCTGCTGCATCAAAGGATGCAGTCTTTGATTTTGCTACCGTTCGATATGGCAGATGACATCAGGACATGAGTGGCTAGAGGCGTCATTGGAAGTGAGAGTAGAAGAAGCCACTGACTAAGTAGATGAATAGTAAACTTGATACTAGGTAATTATAGCTATTTTCTTACTGTCTTTCTACTTTTGCTGATGGATTCAATGGTTATACAGTTCATGTGTCTGCTGGTGGGTTGCAACTAAGATTTCACGGTAAACTCAAAAAGGTCAGCATTGTGATTTATAAGACAAACTCAATCATGTCGCCTGGGGTTGCATATTTGGTTCCATAGTAACCTCAAAATGTCATGATATCTAGCAATTAATGTGTCAAACTAAATCCCACCGATCTCTGGCAAATCATCTGATGATGTCATCATAAGGCTTGCTCCCATGTTGAAGTGTTCTTCCAATAAATTCTGATGTGTCTGGTGATTGAAAGAAACGCCTTCAAATCTCTATCATAAACTAACATCAGTAAATGTAGTACTACATTACTGAGAATCTAACTAAATTTACTGTACCATACGTAAACAGAAAACAATTGGTTTGCATTAACTAGCATTTGCATCCTGCGCCTCAACGATAGTTAATCTGAGTAATATACATTAAAATATCACGTACCACTCGACACACTAATTTTCTTTTGAACTATAAGTTACTTCGTAACTTCTTAATAATTCAATTTTTCTAAATTATTATATGCACTTTTCCGCAAAAAAATGTATTATAAGCTCTAGCCCGTGCAAATGCACGGGTTGACGACTAGTATAATTAACTATGGAAAATATCAATGAAAGAAATAAAATGCTAGTTAGCCAAACAGTGAAATAATGGAAAACTAGATGAAAAACCCGAATTATAACATTCCATAGACTCAAGGTCGCACGAGTCCCATATTTTCTAAAACAAGGTAAAAGAATTACCATTTTCACTAATTAAGAAGAGTTTGTTAAACATGAGCCGCAAAGTGGTAAAGCCTAAACAAATACTCTCGCGGCATTACATTACTCAGACGAAACTAGCTACTTTAGAGACGATACTTTATGCAGCCGATCACTGTATGACGCCTAATCAAGTGGTCTACTGCAATTTACTTATATGCATGGATGGCTCGATCTCATTGTCGTAGAAAAATTGTCTGATTGGTGTCATGTGCATAGCAACAATCTTACTCAGATGCTTAGCCCCGCAATGGACCAAAGAGAAACCTCCTCTCCTCTTTGATGTTCCGCATTATGGCCGCCATGGGCGCCGCCTCGGTCCTAAAAACGCCTTGTAAACTGAGTAAAATAATCATGGTAACCATGCATAAACTTTTTTTTTGTTTCTTACATGTGTCTCGCACTTGTAAGTTGATGCCGAATGTATTTGGGTAATACTGTTCTCCCTCATGGAATGGTTCATTCTTCGGCCGGTGGTGTGAGGTGTATCTTTTCATAGCATCTGGTCTGACACTGTAGATGGGTTCTGTTCGAAATCTAGTACCAAGTGCGGACATAGACATGTCGTGGGAGTGAGATCCGCTGCATCTGGCCATAGACTAGTTTTATCGTAGTCCGATATATTTTAGTTAAAATATAATATAAATGTTATCGTCAGGTTTGAATGAAAAATCATCCTGTTTACATGTAATTTGTCCAGTTTGTTTAAACCCGATTTGAAATGTACTGCAGATCATTGAATGGCCGGCTTCTTCATCATTGTTCGTACTGCCCCCCTCTTGTTCGTGGACACATGCATTGTCCGATATCTCTACTCCTAATGTCTCGGTTGGTAGAATAGTCTTCACGGTTTTTTTTGTCTAATTTTTTCGTCCATTTTATTTTTGTATGATTTATTTTCGTCTCACCTTCCATCTTCATATCCTCGTGTTTATTTTTTCACCCTCCCAATAAAATTTTTCTTAACATTTGCAAACTTTCCTAACCAGCCACGTCACAAACAGGCAGATAGATATCACGTTACCAAATAATAAAACCTTATTTTCATGAAAATCAATTCAATATCCTTACTTTCCTAACACGATTGTTACCTTTCCTAATCTTATTCTCTACTACCAAGTGGCCAGCTTGGTAAGCAACCAACAAAAATTACAATCAATAATCTTATTCCCTACTCCTAAAGACGTAGTTGCGAACCAACTTGTGGTTGAGATGGTTAGGTGGACAGTGGTATCCCTAACCCACCAGGGGTTCAAATCCTGGTGCTAGCATTATTTTTAGATTTATTTCAGGATTTCCGGCGATGCACTTTCAGTGGGAGGAGACGTTCCCGTCGACGACGAGGCGCCTACGGTGGCTTCGTAAATCTCAAGATGATATGCCGGCTCAGTCTCTCGTAGGTGCTCATAGGGATAGGGTGTGCATGTGAGCGTTCATAAAGTGAGTGGTCTCTCGTAGGTGCTCATAGGGATAGGGTGTGCATGTGAGCGTTCATAAAGTGAGTGTATGCGCGTGTATATGAGCGTTTGTGTCTGCGCTGATGCTAAAAAAAAGACGCAGTTAGTACGTCCTTGTTTCGCACCCTCCTCCCACCGATTTTTTTTAACGCAATCCTCCCTACCGATAGTTTCTCTCCTCCCTCGTACGATCCTTTTTTCCTGTTGGTCGGCCGCCCCTCTCGCATGGTCTCATCTCTCACAGGAGCGAGCGACTGAACCCTAGATGGCCCGCCGACGGCGCCTCCCACTCGCCTCCTCTGCCTCCACCCCCTCTTGACTCCACCCTGATCCTATCCCCAAGCCCGAGTTGGCACGCTTCCCCATCGCCCCGTCGGCCATGGCCTCCCACCTCCACCTCGCCGCGCCGCCGCCCCTCCACCACCACCAACACCTCCACCTCCCGCCCACACTAACCCTCCTCAATCTCCCGTAGTCTCGTCTCCGACGTCAACTCTGCGTCCCGCGTTCTCTACTCCGCCACAGCACGAGCGAGGGTTGGTGGCGCCAAGGTCTACTACGACGGCGAGTGTGAGGAGGGCAGGGATACTGGTGAAGGCCTCGTCGGGGGTGAGGGGGATGGGGATGCTGGTGGAGAGGGAGGCCTCATCGAGGGTCTCCTGTTCGTTTCATGGTTGTTGACGAGGCCGTCATTCATGGATGAACTGCACAGCGCCTTCTCCAGAGGACCATAGGCGTGTCGGAGATGCAAACCTACTTCCGATTGGAGGCGGCGCGCTGGACAGGGACACCGAGCTACAGGAAGGATATTTGTTGGATGATGGCCAAGGTGATTAGAGGAAGGAAGGAGCAAAGCACGGGGGCTAAAGCACGCAGCTGTCGCAGCAGCCGATAGGTGTGGTCTGCAACTACTGGAGACTGAGCCGTCTCGTGGGTTGCATCGAAGGAGAACGGCCGCAGCAGCAGTTTCAGTTTTGGCCACGAGATGCGGCACACCTCTGCGGCGACTCCGACCCTTCCCCAAGCACTATCGCCGGAGATGGTGCGGTGCCGCTGACAATCAGCTCCCCTACCACCGCTCTCCTCCTCCCCTTGTTATGATCGAAATCGAAAAGGCAAGGCGCTTTCAACGAAACCCGAGCGAACCAAGGGCTATTCTGCGAAAACACCACGCAACTACCTGCTTAATGCCACCTAGCGTCTCGGAATGGTCAACACGTGGTGAAACCGAGCGGCGACGGATGGCTTACGCGGAACAGTGACCGTACAAACACGTCCTGTCGTATTTGGTGATCGAATTGGCCGTATTCCTAAGTACAGTAACCAAAACAAGCTTTCTTCAGAAGTTAAGTGACTGCCATGCATTTTACTCGGAGTTGGAACAAATCTCAACTGCGTGCTCCCCTGAAAGCGTCCTCGGGTGATGGAGTAGACGGCGTCTCTGTAAAAAAAAAAGACAACGGGAAAGAGAAAGAAGGAGCTACGTTGCAGTACTACGGTCCCTTCGGTCTCCACAACCGGAGAGATTTTGAAGCCTGCAAATGGCAACTTTCCTGGTGCTGGTCGGGGTGCTCGGGATGCTTCATGGGGCCGGGCGGCGTCCGAGGGGAGCGGCCAGCGGTGCAGGTGAGCCAGGGTCGCCCGACGGGGCCGGGGCCAGGGTGCAGTTTGGTTGTAATTACTTTGCTCAATAGGTGTACTTGCTGAAAACGAAACATTTTATTTTGAGGGGCTGGCTAGAATCGTGAGCTTACGACCATTCTAGATTGCACTTTGATTCTCTGTTGATTCTAGGCGATTCTTAGGGCAGAGATGAGTTTCTTTTTTATGATTTTGATTTCAATGTTTTAAATAGCGGGCTATGGCATATAGCGGCAACCCTTAAAAACAGTTATTGCTGGGCTATAGCGGTAAATTATACATAAAATCATTTAGCGGCAACATGTTCAAACAACTATAGTGGGGCTATAGCCGGCTATTTGAAACTATGCTAGACCGTGATACTTCATAATCAAGAGTCAAGACTGTGATCAATCATATTAACCATATTGCCTAGTGCAACGGAGCAAACATATTGGATAATCTATTGTGCCTTAATATGATAAACTAGCAAAGCAACGCCTTCAGAGCACCAATCTTAAATTGGATAATCAATATGCTGCTGATACATGCGCCAGTTGCACAGAAATATGCACTCTTAACCGGCGGCGGTGCCAATGCGGCCGAGGCGGATGGCGTTGACGTAGTCGCGTGGGCTGTGTGACGCAACGCCGGGGACGAGCATGCCGATGGCGCCGCGGTAGAGCAGGGACACGGCGCCCTCATGGTACTCACCCCCGGCCTTGACCCATAGGAATATGGCTTTCAGCAGGTCGCCCAGCGCGTTGCGATACATGGATGGCGCGTGCCGCAGGCCGATGTAATTCGGGTTCGGCACCTCCTCCCCGCCGAGCACCCGCCCGTCGTACCACCCGTCGTAGTACACACACGTCCCACCGTGGCTGAATCCTGCCACCGGAGGCGCGTCGAACGGCACCCGCGGCACGACGTCGTACCTGTACACCACGCGCCAGTAGGACGCCGCCACCTTGGCTTGGAAGAAGTCGACGAACGCCTCGTCCCCGACGCGCGGCTGCCCGTAGGTGTGCACGGCCCTGAGCCTGCCGAGGATGTCCCCCTCCCCGTGCAGCGCCAGCACGGCCGGGAAGAGGACGGCGAGCGCGCCCCCGAGGCTGTGGCCCGTGACGACGACGCGGGCCCTCGGGTGCTCCGCAAGCAGCTCGCGAAGCACCCTTCGGAGCTCGTAGTAGGCGACGACCTTCCCCGCGGGGACGACGGCAGGGGCGTCCCTGGGGAAGGCGCGCGCGGCGTCCACGCCGTCCTCCTCCTGGAGACCGAGCGCCTTGAGGAAGCCGGCGTGGACGTGGCCCATGCCGCCTAGGCGCAACCACGACAGATTCACGTCCGTCGACCAGTCCTGCGTGCTGAACACCTGCGTGCCACGGAAAGCCACCATGACCATGCCCGCGTCCTTGCCGCGGTCGGTCATCACGAACGCCTGGGTCGCGCTCACCTCCAGGAACTCTGCATGGGTTTACACTTATTTATTGTTCCATTATATAGTTGATTATATATACTTATAGAACGTTGATCGATCCAACTGGTTTATAGTATGCTCCCTCCATTTCTAAATATAAGCCATTTTAAAGATTTCAGTATAAACTACATACGAAGCAAAATGAGTGAATCTACAATCTAAAATGCTTTGCATGTAGCTAAAAGGTCTATACATCCATGTTTGAATCTCTAAAAGGTCTTATATTTAGAAACGGATGGAGTATATGTTATATAGCTAGTGCCATGAATGATCTATGTTCATGCATGTACAATCTCTTCTTGCTTGCTTCTGGCTTACTGTTCCAGCAGCTGTAGTACCCCACGAAATTGAACTGCAAATTAGTGAATACATAGCTTAATATGAAGTTACAAGGATGATAGAAAAAGATTGTCGTCCAAGATAGCTAGGTGCATACCCCCCACACGTTGGCGACCACGTTCTCGATGTATGCGGCGTTCTCATAGGCGATCTTGGCCGCCATGACGGTGAGCTCAAAGGTGGCCCCCTGAGTGCACTCGCTGTTCTTAGCCCACAGTTGCCGCAACTCGCTGGCCGCCTCCTGGGGGCTCGGCTTCAGCTCGGTTCTATCGTCGACCAGCGCCATGACCGTTCGGAAGTTGGGTGCGTCCCGATCCAGCGGAATCACAAGATTACCTGCATTGCATTAGGCCTCCTTTGCTTTAAGGAATTTTGTAGAGGATTCAAAGGGATAAGAATTTTGTATGGGATTCAAAAGGATAAGAATTATGTAGGAGCAAATTGAGAGTAGCTCAGATGGTTAGGTTTCTTGTGCTGGAACAGTCCGTCAGTGTTCAAATCTTAGGCTTGGCTCTGGTGCACGAATTGTCTCTTCAGCGATGGTCGTTTAGTGGGAATATACGTTCCCGTCAACCATACGAGGCGCCTATGATGACTTCGTTGATTAATTTTGAAGAAGCTCACAGTGTAGGGTGTGGGCGTTCGTTCACATGTGTGCCCATATGTGAGCATATTTCATTGTACTGTGTTAAAATGATTAATTTTGTAGGAATAATTTCATTGGAGTCCTCTGATTTATAGGGATGAATTCTTATTTAATTTCTACATTTATTATAGGACCCAATCCTTCATATTTTAAAGAAAAAAAAATTAGCTTAGACTCAATGAAATTATTTTCTATCATATGCATCAAATGACATATATTTCCCTGTAAGAGTACATATTTCTCACTTTCTATAATTTTTCTATTTCTACACAATTTATATCATATGAATCAAAGGAGGCCTTAATATATACGTATATATTGCGCCAAAAACATCAATGAGAGTATGTGCAATATTCAGGAATCGATCGCTTGCACCTCATTTTCAGTGGTCTTTTTTCCGATGCCTTGCATGCATACTCCGCCGTTTTTTTCCTTGGGGAAATCCAGATGCATACAAATTAGCTTCTCTTGCTATTGTATGCTTGGGTCCCAGGAGAGCTCACTTTATTTCATTTTGTTCTTTTGGAATGAGATGCGATGTGATGCGGCGTCCCTATCGACTTTTGTCCTTTAAAATTTATGTGGGGAGAACTGAGAGAGTGTCAATTTAGTAGTACTGTAGCAAAGGACAGCGTGAGGTGAATTTTCTATCATCGTGGACGTTTGTGTCTGGTCCAAGTCAGTGCCACAAATGAGTACCGGACACGTATATTGTCACCTACTAATCATTTTTTTTGCGAAAAGGATTGTTACCTACTAATTGAACTCATGTCCTGTCACAATGAACCTCACCCATGTCAATTGCAATCAGTTGTGTCTGTGTTGTCCATCTCAGGACCGAGAGTATCAGGGATGTTTGGTTGCAAGGGACTAAACTTTTTTTAGTCCCAGAGACTAAAGAAAAAAGACCCTCCAGTAGAGTCTTTTTCTAGTCCCTATAAAAAAAATCTCTTCTGTTTGGTTACATAGGAACTAAAAGGGACTTTTCTAGCTTTCAAAAAAAAGGGACTTTTCTAGTCTAGTTCCTGTAACCAAACAGGGCCTCATACCAAATTACTTTCTCCAATCAGGTTTATTTTCTTCTTGTATTTTCCTCGAGTTTTAACCATAGATTTAACTAGAAAACATAAGTTGAGTGATATTAAAAATATATTATTATATTTGTATTCAAAACAGGATTATAATGGTACTAGTTTTGTGGTATATAACTCATAATATTTTTTAATTAAATTTGAAGTCGAAATTTGACCCAATATGCAAAGACGACTAAGGGCATCTCCAGCCGTTCGGCCCCCCAGGGCGCCTGGGGCGTGCCGGCGCTAGTTCGGCCCCTGGGGGCGACCTAGCTCCCAGTCACGCCCCCACGCGCCGGCCGCAGGATGCGGGAAATTCAAACTTGGTCGTTCCCGCTCTCAAAAGACGCCGCAAATCCGGAGATCGGACGTAGTTTGGCGTTACAGGAGCCGGTTCCTCCTCCTCCTCCTCCTCCTTGTCCTCCTCCTCCTCGGGTTCCTGCGCGTTGTCGCCGTAGACGTAGCCGAGCTCGGCCTCCATGTTGCCGCTGAGGTCCACTACATCGTCCTGGGTGGCGAACCCGGGAGACTCGGCGGCCGCGGCCGATCCTGCCGCGATGATGTCGTCCATGTCGGCTCCCGTGTCGTCGGCGTCGCCGAGGTGCGAGAAGGGTAGCGGTCCGCGGTAGAGATGGGGCGTCAGTGTGGACGCGTAGGAGGCGGGCGGCGAGTAGTTGTATGGAGGGTACTGCACGCCGACGAAGGCGGGCGAGGGCGTGCGCGTAGCGGGGTGACCATGAGGGAAGGTCACGTTTGGGTTGAACCCGCCGTGCGCGTCGCCGTCGGCGTAGCCGGGCGACGATGAACCCCATGGAGATCCGGCGCCTTGCTGTCCCCAGGGCGCATACTGGGCGTGGCTGACGACGGGTGGATTCATCCCCGCCTGGTCGACCGATGAGGAAGACGCCGACGCGCGCGCCGCGTTGTCGCGGGCCTTCTTGGCTATGGCCCTGTTCCGCCTGTCGGCGGTGACCGCTTCGCGCCGCTGAACTTCCACCCTCCACTCGGCGTTCGACAGGACCGGCGGCTTTGATGGCGGCGCCCTCGGCTTCCTCTGCTTCGGCTGGACCACGGCGCCAGTCGCGGTTGCCGCAGCGCGCGGCATGTCGTACTTCTTCGGCGGCATGGCGTGCTTCTTCGCGGCGAGCGGGAGGGGGTTTGGCGGGAGAAAGGGATAGAATGGCGGGAGGAAGGCGAGCGAGCGGGAGAGATGCGAGGGAAAAGCGTCAAGAAACGGCGGGAAAAGACCCTCGGGTCGCTTCCAGGGCGGGCCCAGACGCCTTATTCGCTTGCGCCGGCTCCCCAAGCGCCCCCTAGGGCGCCGGGTTCGGCCTGGATCCGCCGGCACCAGTTTTGGCCCGAGCCGGCGAAAAACGGGCTTCTGGGGGCGCAACTGGGGCTTTTTTTTGGAGCCGGCGCGGCAAAATCGCCTGGGGAGGGCCTGTTGGGGGCGCGGCTGGAGATGCCCTAATAAACCCAGAGGGAGGTTGAGCCCTACGCGCTTCGATCTGCCGGTCATCATCGCGTGGTGCCTAACCAGACTGGGATTTGTTTTGTAGTCTAACTGAGGGAGTACTAGACAAAACTAACATTTTGAAAAGAAATTAAGAGGGTGAGTCAAAGGAAGCCTTGTATTTTGTTTTACCAACGTAATGGTAATCAAAGTAATTATGCTAGCATGTGTACACACACACACACAAAGATTTGATATGGACAGCGGCTTGTATATATGATAATAAACAACTACACCTAATTAGTGTAAGAACCCTAGAAAACACAAAAGATTCCCATAATAAAAACTTATTAGGTAGAAAATACACACATGGATATAGGCTATGTGTGTGTTGCATTGTGTGATGCAAAAACATGTGCTTTGCCAGGACACATATTGTCAGCTGCTAATTTAACACATGGCCTGTCACAATGAACCTAGCCCGTCTTGATAACAATCACACGTGTCTTTGGTGTCTGTGTCAGGATTGAGAGTCTCATACGAAATTACTTCCTTCATCTAGGTTTATTTCCTCCTCGTATTGTTTCCTCATATTTTGACCATAGATTTAACTAGCAAAACATAAATTGTATGTCACAAAAATTATATTATTAGATTTGTATTCGAAAGAGGTTTAAATGGTACTAGTTTTGTGGTGCATAACACATGTTTTTGTAATTAAATCTGAAGTCAAAATTTGACCCAAAATGCGAAGACGGAAAATAAAACCGGACGGAGATTAAGCCCCAAACGCATTGATCTGCCACTCATCAGCATGTGGCGCCTAGGGATATCTTTGTAGTCTAACTGAGAAAGTATTAGAAAAAACTAGCATTTTCAAGAGAAATTAAGAGGGTGTACCAAAGGAAAGTCTCGTGTTTTTATTTTAAAAATGTAATGGTAGTCAAAGTTATTATAATAATATGTCTACATGCACATCAGGATTTGATATGGACAATGACGTGTATATATGAATAATTACACCAAATTAGTGTAAGAACCCTAAAAACCACAAAAGACATCCATAAGGAAAACATGCCAGGGAGAAAATACACACAAGAATATAGGTTATGAGTGTGTTGCATTGTGTGATGAAAAACATGTGCTTTGCCCGGACACGTCATGTCACCTAGTGAATGGGCCTGTAGCCGAGTGGTTGCAACGACCTTAGTAGCACCCCATATCCTGGGTTCGACCCTCGGTGGGAGCGGATTTAAATAGGCTTGGGCAAAAATTTCTGGATTAAAAGGACTGTGGGGCTGTTGCTCTACAGCAAATAGTAAAAAAAAATCGTCATGTCACCTACTAATTGAGCTCATGTCCTATCACAATGAGCCTGGCCCATGTTGATAGCAACCAGTCATGTCTGTCTTGTGGGTATCAACACTCGAGAGTCTCATACTGAACTATTTCCCCCATCTTGGTTTATCTCCTCCTCGTATTTTGTCTCAAATTTTGACTACAGATTTAGCAAAACATAAGTTGTATGTCACATAAATTATATTATTAGATTTGTATTCAAAAGGGGGTTTTAATGGTACTACTTTTGTGGTATATAACTTATATTTTCTAGTTAAATCTAAATTCAAAATTTGACCCCAAATGCAGAGCCGACAAATAAACCCGAACGGAGGATGAACACTAAAAGCATTGACCTGCCAATGATCAACACTTGGGGCCTAGGGATTTTTTTGTAGTGTAACTGAGGAAGTATTAGACAAAACTAACATTTTCAAGAGAAATTAAGAGGGTGCACCGAAGGAAGCCTCATATTTTACTTACAAATCTAATGGTTGTCAAATTTATTATGATAGCATGTCTACACATACATCAGGATTTGATGTAGACAACAAGTTTTATATATGAACAATTACACCAAATTAGTGTAAGAACCATAAAAACACAAAAGATACCCATAAAGAAAACTTATCAAGGACAAAATACACACAAGAATATAGGTTATGAGTATATTGCATTGTGTGATGAAAAACATGTATTTTGCTCGCATACGTGATAACCTACTAGTTGAACTCATGTCGTGTAAGAATGAACCTATCCCATGTTGATAGCAACCGGTCATGTTTGTGTTGTGCGTATCAACACTTGAGAGTCCCATACGAAATTATTTCCTCCATCTAGGTTTATTTCCTCCTCGTATATTGTCTCAAGTTTTGACAGTAGATTTAAGTAGCAAAACATAAGTTGTCTGTCACAAAAATAATATTATTATATTTGTATTCGAAAGAGAATTTTAGTGGTACTAGTGTTGTGGCATCTCATTTATATTTTTTAATTAAATCTGCATTCAACATTTGACCCAAAATGTGGAGACGGCAAACAAACCCGAATGAAGGTTGACTCCTAAATGCATCGATCTGCCAGTCATCAGCATGTGGCGCCTAGAGATTTCTTTGTAGTTTAAGAAAGGAAGTATTAGACAAAACTAGCATTTTCAAGAGAAATTAAGAGGGTGAACCGAACGAAGCATCATATTTTATTTTACCAATGTTGTGGTTGAAAGTTATTATAATAACATATCTACTCACACATTAGGATTTGATATGGTCAGCGACTTGTATATATGAACAATTGCATGAAATTAGACAATTAGTGTAAGAAACCTAAAAATACAAAATTTACCCATAAAGAAAACTTGTCAGGGATAAAAACACACATGAATATAAGTTGTGAGTGTGTTGCATTGTGTGATGCAAAAACATGAGTTTTGCCTGGACACGTATTGTTCACGTACCAATTGAACTCATGTCCTATCACAATGAAACTACATCGTGTTGATAGCAAACTATTGTCTTTGTGTTGTACTCCCTCCGTCCCTAAATAAGTGACTCAACTTTGTACTAATTTTAGTACAAAGTTGAGTCACTTATTTTGGGAGTCTTATATGAAATTACTTCCGCCGTCCAGGTTTAATTCCTACTCGTGTTTTGTCTCAGATTTTGACCACAGATTTATGATTAGATTTGTATTCAAAAGGGGTTTTTAATGGTACTATTTTCTTGGTATATAACTTATAGTTTTTGAACTAAATGTAAAGTCATAATTTGACCCCAAATGCGAAGACGACAAATAACACGGACGAATTTGGAGCCCTACATGCATTGATCTGCCAGTCAGCAACATGTCACCCAACGATTGCTTCATATTCAAACTGAGGCATTAGTAGACAAAACTAGCTTTTTAAGAGAGATTAAGAGGGTGTACCCAAGAAAGCCTCATATTTTATTTTACCAATGTATTGGTAGTCAAACTTACTATGGTAGCATGTCTACATGCACATAAGGATTTTATATGGACATTGACTTATATATATATATATATATATATATATATATATATATATATATATATATATATGAATAGTTATGCCAAATTAGTGTAAGAATCCTAAAAACTTGAGCTTTGCCCAGATACGTCTTGTCACCTACTACTTGAGCCCATGTCCTCTCACGGTGAAACTAGCCATGTGAGTATCAGCACTGGAGAGTCGCTTACAAAAGTACTTGCTTTGTCCAGGTTTATTTCCTCCTCGTATTTTGTCTTAAATTTTGACCATATATTTTAGTAGCAAAACATAAGTTGTATGTCACAAAAGTTATACTTTATTATTTGTATTCGAAAGGGGTTTTTAATGGTACTAGTTTTGTGGTATACAACTTATTTATTTTTATTAAATCAAGTGTCAGAATTTGACCCAAAATATGAGAACGACAAATATGAAAACGACAAACCTGGACCGGGTTTGAGCCCCACACACATCGATCTGCCAGTCATCAGCCTGTGGCACCTAGGGAATTTTTTTTTTGTAGTCTAACTGCGGGTGACAAAACTAGCATTTTCAGGAGAAGTTAAGAGGGTGTACCAAAGGAAGCCTCATATTTTATTTTGCCAATCTAATGGCATTCAAAGTTATTATGATAGCATGTCTACACGCACGTCACGATTTGATATGGACAGTGACTTGTATATATGAGTAATTATGTCAAATTAATGTAAGAACCCTAAAAACATAAAAGATAGCCATAAAGATAACTTATTAGGGAGATAATATACACATGAATATAGGTTATAGGTGTGATTTGCATTGTGTGATGCAAAAACAAGAGCTTTGCCCCGACACGTTTTATCACCTACTAATCCCTTGTCACAATGAACCTAGCCCATGTTGATAGCAACCAGTCATCTATGTGTTGTGAATCTCATATGAAATTACTTCCTCCATCCAGGTTTATTTCCTACTCGTATTTTCTCTCAAGTTTTGACCAATGATTTAACTAGCAAAACATAAGTTGTATGTCACAAAAATTATATTATTATATTTGTATTCGAAACCGGTTTTTGATGGTACTAGTTTTGTGGTATATATTTATATTTTAGAATGAAATCTAAAGTTAAAATTTGACAAAAAATACAAAGACGGCTAATAAACCCGAACGGAGGATGAGCACTACACCCATCGATCTGCCAGTCATTAGCACGTGGCGCCTAGGGATTTCTTTGTAATCTAACAGAGGAAGTATTAAACAAAATTTTCTTTTTAAAGAAATTTAAGAGGGTGTACTGTAGGAAGCCTCATGTTTTATTTTATTACCAATCTAATACACCCTACGTCCCAAAATAAGTGTTTTTGAGGGAGGAGTAGTAGTCAAAGTAATTATGATAGTATGTCTACACACACATGAGGATTTGATATGGGTCGCGAATTGCATATATTAACAGTTATGCAAAATTAGTTTAACAACCCTAAAAACACAAAAGTTACCCATAAAGAAAACTTATCAATGAGGAAATACACACATGAATATAGGTCATGAGTGTGTTGCATTGTGTGATGCAAAAACATGTGGTTTTCCTAAAGAAAACTTATCGGGGAGGAAAATACACACATGAATATAGGTTATGAGTGTGTTGCATCGTGTGATGTGAAAAACATACGTATAATACGTTAACAGTTTTTCTTCCATACGTACCAATACGTTAATTTGTAGATCCGCTGAAATGTTTCTTTGATTTATAAGCTAGCTTGGGTGCGCGCGTGTCCTCATTTTCAAGATGAATTAAGATCATCCATGCATGATGCCCGTTGATGCTGACTCAGGATCAAGATGCTCATATATACGTAAAGTACGTCAAATAATTACGTGCAGGTACGTACATCTCATGATGCTCCCTATGATCCCAAATAGTCCGCCGTTGACCGCGACGAAGTTGAGGAGGAACTCGACAACGGCGCCGAACCACTTGGCTGGGTAGTAGGCAGCGGCGAGGGCCTTCTGGATCAGCTGGGTGAGTGCGACGAGCAGGTCGCCTGGCGTGTTATCTAGGACTCTGTCCTGGTCCCCGGAGTCGACCAAGGTGTTGCAGCTGGTGACCCGCCTGCGCAGGAGCAGCAGTGACATGATGTCGACGAGCCGCGCCTTCTCCGGCGGCATGATCAGCTTCTGCACGCCCGCCGTCCGGGGGAGGAAGAGGAGGAGAAGCTGTACTACGTGCTGGTTAGGTAGGTGTATCTGATGTGCGGCCGAATAGGGTTTTGAGTGATGGGATGAAAGAAGGGTGCCCATTTTGTAGGCGAAAATGCTAGACACACGGACTGAACCACGGACCAGCTTACTTGTCCAGTTTTAATTGGGCTAAATAGCCTGGGAAACGTTTAAAACCAACCGACTGATTTCTGGCTGCCTTAAACCGCTTCGTGACGCGCCCGATCGACTCGATCGTGCGTTGCTCATCTCTCGCACAACTCCCGTCAGCCACCAACCACCAAACGTTATCTCCTTAATTTCCGTGAGCGTGAGCCACCCATTCTTCTCCTTCTCTCCAAAACGTGATCCACTTTCACGTAAAAAATAAAACGTGATCCACTTTCTTCATCTCTAACCTCTCGTTCTTCTCCTCGTGAAGCTATGCTACCCAAGCTGCTCAAAAAAATACGATGCAAAGCCTACGACCATGTTGGGACACAATACTTCGGACGTTGTGGTGAACACTCGCGGCGGTGCAAAGATGCTCCGGCGCTATGATGCAGCAGCCGTCGACGGTTGCTGGTGTTGTGATGCAGCATCCGGCGATGCTGCCGGCGTTGCGACGCGGCTCTCGTCGGCGGCCTTTGGCGCTGCAATGCATCCCTCGCCGGCGTTCTGCTGCTGCTATTCGGCCGTGGTTGCCGGTGCTGTGATGCAGCGTTCGACGGTGGTCTGCTGCCGGTACGCAACCCTCGCCGGAGCTGCCGGTGTTGTCGGCGGCCCAAAGATGCTCCATCATAGCAGCGACGACCCCCCCGGGTGATGTTGCATTGCAGCTCCACCGCGGCACCAGACGACCAATCCATCGCAGCAGCGGCGACCACCGGCGATGTTTCATTGCAGCTCCACCGAGGCATCGGGCGATGAAACAATGCTCCATCGCAGCAGCAGCGACCACCGGTGATGTTTCATTGCAGCTCCACTGTGACACTAGCTCTGCTGCAAGCGGCCACCGGCAACCGTCGCTCGTCGGATTTATGATGACGTCTGCTGCTATGGAGTTGTTTTTGTCTGTGTTGCAAAAGATGATGCGGTGCCGGCGAGTATACTGTGATGTGAGAGACAAACTGATGGCCTTGATTAAGCGGATCTAGCAGCAGATAAGGCGCTCATTTGTAGGGATCGGATCGATCTGGATTCTGGCAATCAAATCGTCGCAAGCAGCGGTTCCCAAGAGGAGTATTCGGTCTTAACTGTCCATTGAATAGAGAGTATTTTTTTTTTATCAGGCAAAACACTTCGATTCAGTCGGCGTCCGCAGCCTCCTCCGTGCGACGATGTGTCTTTGCGAGTCTGTTTCTGTATATTTTTAGGAAACTGATTGGTTCCATCCGGATGTAAACAGCCCCATCAAACACCCGTCTCGTGTGATGGACGCATGTCCTGTGGAGTGTGGGCCACGCACCGCATCTCATCCATATCTCCACGGACGCGCCTGAGCCACTCATTCGTCTTCTTCCTTCTCCTAATCACGTTGACTCTAGGCCCTGCAACCTCTGTTATGTATCTCATCCATGCTTTTCTACCTCAACTCTGGTAGCTCGGCCACCACAAGCTGGACTACGGCGATGTTCTAAGCCACGCAACTTCAGCTGCTCTGGCCACCGCACTCCCCCTTCGACGCGGCGGCTGCGTTCGTTTGTTGCTGCAATCTTCTTCCATGTGTTTCTGCTTCGGGCGACGCTGCTACAAAGGAACCTCGCTAGCGCCGGAAGATGCATCCGGCTGGTGTTGTAAGCCGGGTCGCTATGATGCAAGATTCCGTTGTTGGAAGCCTTGCAGCAACGCCTGGTGCTGTGAGCATGACGACGGCGCGGACTGCCGGAGATGCTGAGATGGTGGCGCAGCTTCTCCGGCAATGTTACGACGGATGCTGCGAATGGCGACCTAGCTGCGATGGCGGCGAGTCGGCTCCTGCGAACACGACGGCAGGCCGACTGCTCGGCGATGCTACGACGGTGGTGCGGCTTCTCCGGCGATGCTGCGATGGCGACACTGCTGCGATGGCGGCGAGTCGGCTCCTGCGAACACGACGGCAGGCCGACTGCTCGGCGATGCTACGACGGTGGTGCGGCTTCTCCGGCGATGCTGCGATGGCGACACTGCTGCGATGGCGGCGAGTCGGCTCTCCGCTGCAGCAACGTCGGCTACTTCAGGCGCGACAACGGTCGGCTGCTCGGCTGCAGCAACGCCGGCTGCTGCGGGCACGACGACGGTCAGCCCTTGATACAGAACTTTCCCTATTTAAGAAATACATTCCATACTTGTAAATTTTGCACAGTCAAACTTGCCCTTGATATAGAACCCCCCCGGCTCAGGGGCAGCCCCGTCGCGCCGCCACCGGCCCACCCTTCACACACCCCCATCCGCTTCGCCGCCGCCGGAGAGGACACCGGTGAAACCGCGCGTGCCCCAGGTATGGTAGCGGGCGGGGCTCCTTTGCGCCGGCGCTCACCAGCTAGCGGGGGGTCCCTTCGACGGCGCTTCAAGATCCGGTACGGTGGGCCTCTTCGCCGACGTCGGGGGGGCTGCTCAGCCCGGATCCGGCGCGTGGTGGTGCGGTGCTGGTGGTGCAGGGTCAAGTGCGCGAGGTCTTCCTGCTCGCCCGGTCGTGCGGGGCTCGATCCAGCGAGGCTGACGAGGTGTCTCGATGGTCGGCTCGCCGAGGCTCGGTGGTAGGCACTGGCTGGAGGAGGAGAGGCCCGGCGCATCTGGCTGGGGATGGCGTGTCGCTGCAGAGCGCGCAGGCTGGTGGCGGCTTGGTGCTCTTCGCCGCGGCGGTGCTCGAGCCAGGCCAGATCTGCGCTGGCTGGTGGTGAGGGCTTATGGCCGGCGCACGGCAGGTGAGGTGGTGATGTGGAGGGCCTGACGGGGTCTGGGAGCGGAGACGTGGCTCGTTCTAGTGGGGGCGCTAGCGGGAGGCAGTGCTGGGTTCTCATAGGCAGGTTGGTGGCGGCGCTACGATGGCTCAGCCAAGATGGAGTCTTGCGAGCAGCAAGCGGTCGGTCATCCCTGTGCGGCGTGGCAAGCGGCTGTGCTTTCCTGGTGGTGCCGGCCTAGAATTTTTCCGTGGAGAGGCGGGTCTAATAGTCGCAAGGCCATCCCTTGGAGTGGGCGACGGCCGTCGTGGGCAGTCCTGGACCTGGCCGGAGGTGCTGGTTGGCTGCGGACCCTCGTGCAGGCTCGGAGTGGATGGTGTGGCCATGGTTTCCCTGCCAAGTGGTCGGTCGTTGGTCCTCGACTATGCAGCTACATCAGCAAGTGCTGCGGTGGCGGCGGTGTGAGGCTTCTTGGCAGTGCTGCCAATCCCATGGAGTCGTCGAGATGGGCGAAGCGCCGATGAAAATTTTGCACGGCTTCTGCCGGGTCGGCGGTGATGGCATCGTGGATGAGGCATCGTCGAGCGTGTTCGCCTCATCCCTCGCGCTCTTGGTGTTGGTGGATGTCTCCAGGCGAAAGCCTAGACTCGATGTTTGGATCGGCACGATGGCGGTGTCCTCGACGCCGCTCCTCTGTTCGGAGCATTGTGTTTGGAGACACGGTTGGTTCCTCGTTGCTCTCCTCCGGTGTTCGCCGCTATCCTTTTCTGATCCTTTGTGGCGCTATGTACGTTCGTCGTCGGTGAATCCAAGGCGGTGTCTTCCCGGATTGGATCGAGTCCTGCCATTCATCTGCCACTTTCTCTCAGGCGCTCAAGATGGATGGTGCGTCAACAAGAGAAGTTCTGCGGAAGTGTGGTCTTCGGAGATGTCCGGCGTCGGTCGAGACGCGGTGTTGTGTATCAGTTTAGGATAGGCTTTTTGCATTGTAGCTTGCCTAGCGGTGGTGTTTGTTTGTGGTCTTGCCGGGTATGGTGTTCGTGCTACACTCGTTGTTCGCATCGAGCGCTAGCTTTCTTGTAATTAAATTATGTCTTCTATAAAGCTATGATACGCCTAGGCGTACTCTCGAACCTCGATCGATGGACTTCTGAGATCAAACACTACTCCTAAAAGAACTTGCAAGAATTAGATGACCATGAATGCGGCACCGAGGAGCTAGTATAACAGTCCAGGGGGTTAGTGGAAACCATTCCGAAGATCGTACTGCATTATGGAGACTTACAAAAGGTAATGACAACTACTTCCTTGTTCGTGTCCCATGTCACTTCCCATATCCCGCCATTGCCCTTGTTTTTTCAATGCATAAGGGCATCGCCAAGATGGACCCTCAAATCTTTACTATGTCTTCGGACCACTTTTGTCAGGAACCTATATATGTCCGCTTCGCAGTTCAAATATATGGATTCCGGTATGCAAGAGACAAACGTGGGGGGCTTTGTCGGAGTTCGGACATACACTTCACCAATCACATGCACAGTTCCTCTCTTCTCTCTCTCCACCCAAACGCACATGCATGGCCCCCCAATCCTCTCTCTTCTTCCAACCGGACACTTAGCCACAAATATCTCACCACATGCATGGTCCTCACGTACTCTTTTTCTCCCAACTGGATACTTTGTGATTAGCATTGGATGGCTCACCCGCATCATGTCCGCGAACCACGTCCAGACATAAAAATGGACATATGCCAGAGATATTTGCCGGTCAGAGGCATTCATGGTTTATTGTTAGATGGCAGAAGATTAAGAGACAAACATGTTATAGCTTATGTTACATACCATGTCACTATAAAGGTTCCTAACAAAAGTGGTCCTAGGCGTACTCTCGAACCTCGATCGATGGACTTTTGAGATCAAACACTACTCCTAAAAGAACTTGCAAGAATTAGATGTCCATGAATGCGGCACCAAGGAGCTAGTATAACAGTCCAGGGGGTTAGTGGAAACCATTCTGAAGATCGTACTGCATTATGGAGACTTACAGAAGGTAATGACAACTACTTCCTTGTTCGTGTCCCATGTCACTTCCCAGATCCCGCCATTGCCCTTGTTTTTTCCATGCATAAGGGCATCGCCAAGATGGACCCTCAAATCTTACTATGTCTTCGGACCATTTTTGTCAGGAACCTATATATGTCCCTTCGCAGTTCAAATGTATGGATTCCGGTATGCAAGAGACAAACGTGGGGGGCTTTGTCAGAGTTCGGACATACACTTCACCAATCACATGCACAGTTCCTCTCTTCTCTCTCTCCACCCAACCGCACATGCATAACCCCCCACTCCTCTCTCTTCTTCCAAGCGGACACTTAACCACAAATATCTCACCACATGCATGGTCTCCACCTACTTTTTTCCTCCCAACTAGATACTTTGTGATTAGCATTGGATGGCTCACCCGCATCATGTCCGCGAACCACGTCCAGACATAAAAATGGACATATGCCAGAGATATTTGCCGGACAGAGGTTGAGATGCCCTAATAATCTGACCAATGTTTCTTTCCATCTACTATACATGCCTCTGTCTTTGAAGTCCTCTCTACATTCTTTTTGCCTTGTAGAGCTCAACTCTCACCGCACATGCACATTTTGCCACATGGATGAGGTTCTTGTGGCCATTTTCCTCCATGTACATAAATCCGGTAAGTAAATCTTCAAGTAGAACCTTAGTCCTTCTGTGCAGTATCAACTTTATCAATTTCCATGTATACCTGTCATGAAAAGAGAACTCCCATCTATATCCCCGCAACATCAGATTTCCAGCTTCGTCCGAACGGTAGTGAAAATAGTTCTAAAGCATTACTTAGGATTTTCTTTGCCCCATTTCCGTTGTTCTTTCTTTGGTAAGAAAGTCGACATAATTATTTGCTTTGTGCCATCTGAAAGTTTTTTCCTTCCTAAATGGAAATCCCAAAACATGTGATGTAATCACCATTTATTTGGTTCTTTGTGCAGGTGTTTGTTCGTGTTTGTCAGGATAAAAATTTGGCATCCGCATGTTGCATAAAAATTTGGGTTCTTGTCATTCATCGTGACTTGGTAGTCTACTTGCCTAGTTCGGGTATCAAAATCAACATATCACTATAGCATAAGTATGAAATAAATGAGACTTTGGAATCATTCCACTGATATGATATTAAGGTTAGCACTTTTTTCACACTGCTGCATTGCTATCGGTACTAGCTGTTCTTGCATTCATCATCTTTTTTAGCTTTGATGTGCAGGAGTTCTTGTGTATGTTCTGGTAGTCTTCTAGCCACATTGTGTTAACATTTTATCCAAAGCTCGTGAAGACTTGGTGGTGTACGTGGAAAGTTCAGGTTTAAGGATTAAAACGTCGCCATGGCGTAATAATGGAAAACAATGAGCTTTATGTGCTACTGATAAGGTTTTACAGTTTTCTAGCTCAGTCGCGATGGCATAATAATGGAAAACAATGAGCTTTCTACAATGCATCTGTATTTTTATTGTATGTCCAATACAGTCTCCCTTTGCGTCTGTACGGAAGGCATTTTACAGTTGTTTGGTGTTTTTGCAAAGAAGTATGAATTGACACATGGTTTCAAAGTTTCAGACTCAGCCAAGATTCTTATGTTGCTTGATACATACTGTATATAGGTGTGGCATGGGGTACAACTTTGGAACTACACAACATAGTTGTAGCCGGCCTGAAAGTATACCTCTTTTTCCTAATGTTTACACTAAGCGTTGTAATTGTGTATGTGTGTGTGTTTTTTTGTGTGTGTGTCCATGACATAGTGCAATTTTGATTTGATCAGCCAACACTTAATCAGGGTGTCACTTGTGCCAACGGTTTACTTGCTGACATGTTGTATTCATGGATCTGTGAGTGCCTCATATTGCTCTTTTCCCTACCAGTTCAATAAACAGTAGCAATTACAGTGTTACTTTACTTTTGTTGATCAATATCTATATCCCTGGAAGCAGCGGGCTGAATTGGCAAAAAGACGCGGTTGATTCACACAGCAAAGCAAAATAAAATAAAAATGGTTTTGAAGTTGCACTGCACCGATGCCAGATGAAGTTGAACTGCATGGTGCGCATTATTGGGTAAGCTCGGATCGTGAAGTCGCTCTGAACTTCCTAACCTTGTGGTATTACTATCCTTGATGACTTGCTCATGGTTGTATTCTTTGTAGAGTGCAGCAATTGAAAACCGTCTTGATCTTACACTGGTCACTCGACAATCGGGTTTTGACATGTTCATGGTTGTATTCTTTGCCGGTACATATGGAGAATAATACTAGCGAGATGGTCAGCCTTGAGCGTCAGTTCTGTCCCGGAAAACATCGCTAGATGTTGCAATCGGAGAGGGATTCCTTGATGAACAATGTTTGGCTGGCTCCATCGATCTGTTGACAAAATTGCTTCTCACAAACAAGTTTCCTTCTACTACTTCAAAATCAGTTTTGCCTCACACGTTGTCTAAGTTCAGAAAAGAAGGCAACGGTCAGTTTGATAGTTTCTAAGTTACACAATCTTTTTACCCGAGTAATTACAACACCACCCGAAAAAGTGACCATGTACCAACATTAATAGGGACGGCAAGAATCATGGTTCAACGAGACACGGATCATCAGCTGATCAACATTTCACATTTTCGCCGGAAAACATTGTGTTCATCCATACATCGGAAGGGAAGCTACGGGCGGGATGCATGGTTTATTTTAGATGGTAGCAGAGTTTAAGAGACAAACATGTTACAACTTATTGCATAGTAGTACTACATGTACACCATGTCAACTCCACTGACGTTCACCTGCTGACTAACTGAAGTGTAGTGACCAGTTAACCGTCAATGGATGTACTCACCTATACCCGAAATTTCACAGGTCTCACGTGTTCCTCCAAACCAACGAGACGGTTCCTCTGCACCGAATCTGACGACACTGGCCATCATACCTCCTGCGAGCGACAAGAGAAGAAGTGTTATGCGTAAGCAATATGCAGGGGACCATACAAGTTTGGCTGGAAGATGCACGTGGCAGAAAAAACCAGTACCTCCTTCCTTCCTGGCTAGCTAGCTCGTATGTGCTTCTTCCTTTGTTGCTTGTCCGTGTGTGCATGCTTCTTGTCGTACTTTAGTTACCCCCAGAGCCGGAAGCTACTTCCTGCCCCTTCTCTGCATCTACAGATGAAGAAGGCTGGAATCAGCACGACGGAATAAATACAACAGACTATGTGGACAGAACAACCTCATAAATTAAGATGTAAGTAGCTAGCTAGGAGCATCTGTGTTAATTTACCTCCGGATTGCGACGGCATGCTAGTCAAGCAGTACCGGGCCAGTATATCCCTCGCTCTGGTAGCGTCCTCGTCTGCTACCTTGCGCACTTGCTTGACCTTGCGCACTTGCTGGCTGTAATCCGGCTCTTGACTGAACGGTGCACCTTCACCTTCCTCCAAGTCTATCACTATGTTATGCAACATCAAGCACGCCAAGATTGCCTTATCTGGGTTTTTCGGGTGCCACGTCCCTCTGTGCAACCACTTATATGTGTCTTGAAACCTTGCCAGCGCCTTCAGTGTGACGGTTCGGGCTGCAGAGTGCCTCCTGTTGAACTCGGCTTGATCAGGAAAGTTTGGGAGGTCCTCCTTTTCCAGCTGGTTATAAGGTGTCAGGAGCCAGGGGAGAAGGGGGTATTCTGCACCGCCAATTACATATTCCCCAACGTCTGATCCATCTAAAGATACCTTGAGCTTGTTGCCGTTCAACCACTCGCCCTCCTCGCAGAACTGGAAGAGATCAGAGTCGTGCAGAATAATACCATGCTCGATCCTGCTATTTGACCATTTCCATTGACCATGAATGAACCTCAAATCTGGATCAACGACGGCTTGCAGTACAAGGCTGTAACCTGTCTCATCATCTTGCGGTGTGATGTGAACTGAATGTACAACACCGCAGCAGTTTGGAAGACCATGGATCTTATGAAACTTGGATTTGGTCTTCTCCATTTCATTGGGGTATGGCCAGCGCAAGTAGCTTTGTGCTTTCACCGCCATATCATCAACAAAGCTATCAGTTACCAGTGAGACGGTTGATCCGTTCACACCAACAGAGGACCCTATTGTCTCCAGAGGCTCACTAGAGTTCAGCACTAACAGAGCAAGGGCTACTCGATCTTGTAGAGACAGCACCCTGCCATCAGCAAAGGTGGAGCTGCTCATATCTTCTAAAGATGACACATACACCCAGCCGTAGACATAGTTGAAGGTACTTCTTCTCATCTTGAATACAGACTCAAATCCTTGTGCGTCCATCATAGAAGATGATAAGGTTCCTACATGGCAAGAAAAGACACAACTGTTCGTAACTTGCAAGGAGCCAAGAACTATATACAATAACTTCAAATAGACTCCTACAGTCATGATATGACCATTAGTTTAAAAAAAAGATATTGCCCTAGACAACTCGAGGAAACCTAGGAGAACAAGTGACAGAAATACCAAGATATTTAGCAACATGTGAGTGAGGAGCCAAATCAGAAAGTGACCATTACACAGCCCGCGTGCACAGCTAATACTTGCTAAAACTGAAGTTGCATAACTACAAACGACATACTCAAGTGGAATGAAAAGGTAATATATTTACAAAATGAGCATATATGGAAGGACACAAAATGAAATGAACTAATGTCAGAACACTCAAATAAATGAAGACGAAGCTCATATGTTTACCTGCAGATACCAACGAGTGGATAATATTTGTCTCCAAGCCGCAGGGATCCCTTGTGTACAACACATAAAGTTTTCTGGCTTTGTTTCCATCATGTGAATATGCCTTGACATGTTCGACATGGCTGAACTTGTCCCACTCGGTGCCAGATTGTCCCGCGGCTACTGATGTGAGCAGACATAGATTGCAGTCTACCAGCAAATGTCTTGGCCTTATACCTCGCATGTATTCTGGAAGTTCTTCCATGGCGTAATCCTCTAGGTCAAGAATCTGGAGTGCAGGAACACCCTCTAACACATTCAGCTTTGGGCACTTGATGATGGTAAGCTTCTGAAGATTGGGGAGATTAGTGATCCTCTCCAGGTCGGGGTTGTAATTTACTTCAAGCTCAGTAACTGAAGCAAAATTCTCCAGCAATTTGAGTTGTTGTACCAAAGATATAGTTATTTTTTTTAAAGCCCTTGCATTTGAGGCAAGGCCAGGAGGAACAAGCCTCAGTTTGCACTTTTGGATGAAAAGCTCCTCCAAAACAGGGAAGGCTTGCACTTGCTCCTCCCACACCCACTCCTCCCACTGAAGCATTCCCTCTAAGGCCAACATGTGTAATCTCGGAAAGGCATGTCCCGCCTGGAAAGGGTGAGCGCCATGGTGATGGTAGGGCTGGAGGAATTCTGGTCCAACACGCTTGATGGATGGAGCGTGCCTGATTCTGAATTTCTCCAAATAGGGGAGTAGGCACAAGCCATCAGGAAGTTGTGTGCAGCAACCCAGGTCATCAATCGCTAGATTCCTTAAGCTCTGGAGGGATGATGGTAATGTTAACGTCATCCACCTTGGGAGTTGTTGGCCAAAATATCCTCTGATAGCAAGCGTATCAACGCTAGGTGGAGGGAACAACTCATCAAACACCTCCTTGATTTGTTGTTGCTCAGAGACACCTTCTTCATCTTTAATCAGCCCATCAACCCAAAGTATACTACTGCACTGTAAATACAAGTTGGTAAGATGCACCTTCTCACTAAGCCTTGCCTTTGAGGCAGACGATGTAGCAGACGCATTCTGCAGTCCATTCAGAGAAAGATCCCTGAGCTGGCAAAGGGAGCCCAACTCTTCTAAACTACACCAATCACCATCCACCTGAACTGGAAACCCATAAAGTCTCCTCAAATTTTTTAAAGTACAGAACCCCCTAGGTATATCTCTTATACTAGTTCCATGGAAGTCAAGAGACCATAACTTCCCCAAATTTACAATGCTATGTGGAAGTTTCACAAATTGTTGGCTTCCTCTAAGGCTGATGTACTGCAAGAATTTCATCTTCCCAATGTTCTCTGGCAGACAAGACATATCAGAATTCCGTATGGACAAGTACCTCAAGTGCTTTAGTTCATGTAAAGATTCAACCAGTAGAGCGACATTTGCAGAATCCATGTGTAGAATCAGAATCCGCAGTGATGGAAAATCAACCAAAGAATCACCAGGCTTAATGTTTACATGGCCGACACATATTAATGTTCTCAATGCCTTTTGCGCTTCTAAAGAACTCCAGTCCAACCCTTCTGATTTTGAAACTTTGCTTTCTATAGATAAGTGCAGAAACTTTTGTTCAGTGAGTTCACTAATATTATCATTTTCTCCACTCTGAACAGCTACTGCCTCATCTCTAGCCACAAATTGAGCAAATGAGCGAACAATATCATGCATATTGAAAACTGGGTGATCAATATACTGTATCCCTGGCTCAATAAGGTTCCTAAGTATCAGCTCAATATAGTACTTTATTCCTAATTCTTCCAAGTCGTCGTCTGAGCTTCCGTGAATAAATCCTTCACTAATCCACATGCCAATAATTTCAGCACGCTGGAAAAGTCCACCTTTAGGGAAAAGGGAGTAGTGTAGAAAGCACTGCTTGATGCAAGGAGGCAAATCTTCATAGCTTAAATATACTGCATAGTTAAGTTCTTCGGGCATTTCAGATACTGACCAAATAGAATCATTCAGAACCATCTCCCAGTCATGGCGTTGCTTCCCTTTCTGACGCAAAAGTCCTCCCATTACTTTGACAGCAAGAGGCAAACCATCACATTTTTCAATCACTTGCAGTCCAATATCCTTAAGCATATCGATGTCAGGTCCATCTTCATCGCCCGAGACTACCTGTAATCAAGTTAGTCTTTAGAGCAGATTCAATGAATTGGCAAGTTGTTGGAGGAAAAAACGAATGTGAACTATATAGAACAGTCAGTCAGCATACTGCATGCTAAAATGAATCAGCAAGTGAAATTTAGAATTGCCCATTGGTTGTTAATTTACAGGTGCAATCATGCAGATTCGTTAATTGATCCCCTTTTCTTGTTCTCATGAACCCGGATGGAGCTAGAATATAAGTATGTGGTGTCCAATGACACCATTCATTTTTACTAATGCTCTTTAGAAGAAGAAATACCCTTAAAAATATTCAATGACACCCCTATGTTTATAGGAATGATACTGGCGATGTTTTTTTCTGGCATCACCCCTGCGTGACCATGAGTGCATGCAGCTCGTCAGTTGCAGGCTCGCAGCACAAATCAAATTGGCTTCATTTGGATAGCATAAATCAGCTGGCTGGTCACACGATAATTGCAGTGCCGCCGCTGCCAGTCAAGGCTACCTTCCAGGTGCGGAGGTGCCCACACGAACAGGAACTCGGTGGTTATTTCTTTTTGCCACTATATTATCTTTTCAAAAATAGTGAGTTATTATTCTCCTCGAATAGAATAAGTTACTCTGTGCATAGTCGCAAATATTGTGAAGTACTCCCTCCGTTCCCAAATATAAGTCTTTTTAGAGATTTCAACAAGGGACTACATACGGAGCAAAATGAGTGAATCTACACTCTAAAATATGTCTATATACATCTGTATGTTGTAGTCCACTTGAAACCTCTAAAAAGACTTGTATTTAGGAACGGAGGGAGTAGATCCTAATTCTGTAGGAATATGCAGAAAGAGTAAGCCACTGTATTCATGGATATATGTGCGAGTAGGACCTCCATGAGCGGCACTGATGTGCTTCTGTGGTGGTGAAAGCACCGGCAGTTGGGCACAGTAAGATAGTTCCCCCTGCCTTTCTCTTTTTCAGTGTCTAGAAATTCTCTCACCAGCATGTATCTCGAGGAGCTGCTAATAGATTGTTTTTGTTATGGATGCAACTTGATTGTATTGCAAGGCCCCTAATAAGGACTTCTAGACCAATACTAATACTTCCTAACAGTTTTTCATGTTGACCCATTGATTCTATGGACCCATTTTGTTACCGCACATTAATACTACACATGATTCAATGCAAGTCTTATTAGCATTTTGACCAGTCGAGCCTTTTTAATTTGACCATCTATAAGAAAGAACCATATAATCCGAAACATGAAATTGATCGTGAAATATAATTTTATAACGTACAATTATTTTTATGTGCGGCAACATGTTTATAGAAAAATTATGGTCAAAGTATCATCTTGAAGGTTGTGTCATTGTCCTAAATGGCCTACATTTTTTTTATCAGAGGAACTAGATCTTTACAACTGTACCTAAACATCACCTGCCCATTTATTTGTTGAACCTCCATCATTAGTGGACATCTATGTTACTGTGTCTGAACATAATCAGGCCATTTATCTCATAGACCCTTATCGCATTACTAACGGAGCTCATCCGGTAGAAACTACACAAAATGTACATATTAATGCACGTACCAATCTACATTACAAACGGAATTCAGTGCACAGAACAGAAAATTTAAATAACTCCATGTACTAAACTAATATCAGTTAAAACAATCGATGGAATCGGCATTTTAATTACAAATCATAATGTTTAGTCGGACAAATAGCCAATGATATTGAGGTGACATCTCCGATTATGGTTTTGCTATCCACTTCTAAGATCAACTAAAGTATAAAACACTTACAAATAGATATACAGTATTAACAAAAGAAACATATAATCAAAACTTTGATTTAGAGGTCACTACCAGTTAATTATTTACGCACCTGTTTCCTGAGCAATGACCAGGCATCCTCGGGCCCTAATTTGTCAATGCGGTGGTAGGGCTCTCTGGCTCTCATGCCTCGGGCAACCGTGTCATTTCTCGTGGTGATGACAATCCGGCTACCAGGGGCATCGTGGCTGAAGGGAGCATTGAGTAATGAGGTCCATGCTCTATCACTCCACATGTCATCCAAAACTATAAGAAATTTCTGATTTCTGACGGCGTTGAGAAGGGCCGGGACAAGCATAGATATGTCTTGAGTCACAGGGAGTTTTCCATCGGCGGCGGTGATGGCCAACCTTAGTAGCTCAACCTTGCTGAAGTCTTGTGTGACGCTCAACCACATCTTCTTTTGGAACTTGTGTTGAATGTCCTCATGGTTGAAGATCTTCCTGGCAAGGGTGGTCTTCCCGATCCCACCGACACCCACGATGGCTAGCACCATGATGCCATCATTGTCCTTTGTCAGCTTCCCCACCAGTGCTTTTGTATCCTCTTCAATCTTCTCCCCTACCACGGCCGAGCGCTCCAACACCGGATCCGTCTTCCGGTCAGCAGCAGAAGGTCGTCCGGTCCTGTAGTCCTGGTATGTCTCCAGCTTGATGAAGCTGAAGGCAGCACCCAGCTTGCAGATGTCGTCCAGCCTCTTGTTGAGCTTCCTGATGCGGCTGCCAATATCATGGGCGAACATGGGATGCCGCAAGCAGAAGAGCAGCGGGTTGCAGCAGGGTGAGGGTGCTGCATCCCGCCGACCCATGGCCTTGAGCTCGCAGAGGTCGAGGATGTTGGTCGCCTCGTACATGACACCCTTGAGCTTTGTGACCCACCCCTGCACCCTGTGGTCGGTGATGCGCTTCCTCTCGGCGTCGGCGAGGTAGTCCCTCAGGCTCTCCAGCTTGTCCTTCAGGCTGTCGATCTCCCCGGTGACGCCGAGCAGCATCCCCACCTCGTCCTTCGCCATCTGCTTGATCGTGTCGGCGATGTAGGACGCGAAGGCGTCCAGCACCATGGCCATGGTTGGTTTCTCCTTGCTTTGTCCTCAGACCGGCGAAGAAATTAATGGATGATCAACAGAGAGTGTGTATGTTTGGCTTCCAGGCTAGCTAGGAGATGTGAAAGGGGTGGCAATTAGGCTGAAATGTGGTGCTCTGCCTTGTTGGTGGGTGATGGATCTGGATGCTTTGCTTGCTAAACAAGCCAGGCTGATGCTTAGCTTTGGGCTCGCCGACCGGGGCACCGGAAGAAAAGACGGTGCCTTGCTTGAATCGCCGGCAAAGCCACCCACGGCCATGGCCCCTGTTTATTCCTTTCTCCTCCGCGCCTTTTTTGGTCCGTGGTGGCAAGAAAGGGATCTGACCTGAGACCTGACAATGGTTCATCCCTTTCCGCGTCAGTAATTTCAGAACAAATGGCAAAGAATGAAACCCCTACCAAGCAATGGCTCCTAGGTGGTTCACCCGCCGTTGCGCCGCCGAGCCGCCGGACACGGGGGAGGTTCCATCGATGCGGATGCGGCCGGTGTTGGAGCAAGGCTGTCGGCGCGGAAGGGAGCCGGCTGCCCCCGTAGAAAGCTGGAGACACATCGAGGGGGCCGACGAGCTCCAAAGACGGCGGGCGAGTCGCTGTCGCCACCGCCGGCGGCGTAGCGGTCGCCTTCACTTGGGGGAACTCTCATGGTTTTCTTTTCTTTTCTGGATTTTGAAGTTTCTTCTACAACGATATACCTTTGATACGTGTGAACAATAAAATTCCTAAAAAAAATGGGTTGTAACTTTAAGATGTTTTTTTAAATAATCAATCTATTATTCATTAATTGTCAAGGTAATACAAAGTACACATAAGAAAAAAAAATCTAGGTCCGCAGACTGCGTAGCGACAACTACAAATACTGGAGCGAGCCGACGGCGCGCCACTGTCATCACACCTCCCTCGTCGAAGCTGAGCAAACCTTGTTGTACTAGACAGCCAGAAAGTCATCATGCTAAGGCTCCGTTCAAATCTTCTCCACAATCCAGCATTCCGAGAAGCCAGCGAGAAGACACCCGAACGGGACAGCTCCGAGAATCCCGGTTCGAGAGAACGAGCGACCCACAGTGCAAATTTTTGGAGCAGCCGAAGCGCAGCTTCGCGTAAACGAGAAGGGAAAGTTGCTTTAAATTACGTTGGAATGCCCTTCCGAAGTGGCATCCGTGTACAGTTTTCCTCTCATGATGAGCCACCGAACTAGGCCTTGGGCTCGCTTTTTGGGTTGTCAGCCCATTCTGACCAGAGGAGTTGCTCGGCTGAACGCATCTTTCTCCCCCCGAAAGCTAGCGACGACTAGCTTCCCGGGAAGCTAGCTATTCCGTGAAGCTAAAAAGATCCGAACGGGCTCTAAGCTTCCAAAGATCAGCGCACGAGAATAGCAACCACAAAGAGAAGCATAGACTGAAAGGATCCAACCTGTAAAACACGAACGCAAACAAAACAAGACCGGATCCAAGCAGATCCGACAAAGATAATTGTGAACAAAATCGCAAGAGATCCACCAAAGACAAATCTTCACATGCCCTTCGACAACGCTATAAACACCGTTGGGTGGAGGTTAGGCTGAAAGAATCTCATTATATCTTTAGGTAGCCACGGCCACCTCGCCTTTGTAAGGAGAACACACACTACACAAAAAATACACTTCCGTGATGATACATGTTTGTCACAGTAGGTCGTGTTTTTTGTCATGCATGTACATCTATGACAAATTTATGACAGAATCAAGATAGTCATACATGTGCTGTCGTAGAAGTGTTCCATGACATTACCAAAATTATCATCACGGAAGTGTCCACTTCCATGACGATAAATCGCGCGTCACAGAAGTGCTTTCGTCAAGGGTGACCGACACGTGGCATCCACCGTAACTGAACGCCGTTAAGCTATCGGGTCGGATTTTGGATCCGATAACCCGTTAACAGCCCCGACCAATGAGAAATTTCCACGTGTAAAATTTTGATTGGCCGTCAGTGGGCCAGATGTCGCCCGTCCATTGGAGGAGACATGCCTATGGTACGTCGACGCACGGCTGGGCCCAACAGAGGCCCATATAGGTTAAAAAGGCCGGCCCAGTCAAAGGCCCGTAGAACTTAATCAGGTACTAGTGGGCCAGCCCAATAACGGCCTGCTTAATAAAGGCCCATTTATAGCCCGAAACCAGATCTGGCCCGTTAATTGTTCGCCCAATATTTGGGCCCATTTACGGCCCGAAGCCAGATCTGGCCCATTAATTGTTCGCCCAATATTTGGGCCCATTTGCGGCCCGAAGCCAGATCCGGCCCATTAATTGTTCACCGAATATTCGGGCCCAACTACAGCCCAGTGACTTTCGGCCTATTAGAGGCCTGATGTAGACATGGGTCCATTTCAGCCCGGTGTGACTTTCGGCCTGGGAATGGCCCGTGCTGCCCATGGGCCATATATGGTCTGACGGGACATCGGGCCCACTAACGACCCATGCTAAAGGTGGCAATAAATAAGCCCAACGTGACATTGGGCCTGTTAAAGGCCTGTCGCGTAATTTGGCCCGTTGATGCATGTACTAAGCTTTCGGCCTCTTAAAGGCCCATGATATCCGTGGGCCAAATAAGGCCCGAGATATGTTTCGGCCTGGTAACGGCCCGTGAGCTAACTGGGCCCATAACGGCTCGGTCTATATTTCGGCCTGCTGAAGGCCTGTCGACGACTAGTGAAAATTGAGGCCCAACATGCATTTTGGCCTGCTAAAGACCCGTGGTTTCATCTCGGCCATAACAGGCCAGTACAATATTCAGCATGTTAATGGCCCAACGCTACCTGGGCCAAACTAAGCGCTGGGTCGATAAAAGGCCCAACTAAAATATAGGTCGGTGTAAGTTTGGGCCTGGCGCAATGTGTGAAGGCCCCAATCATTCGGGCCCAAGAAAAACGCAGGCCGGCCCAATTGTGGCCCGCTAAAAACCTGGCCCGTTATCGAACGTTTTGGCCCGATCAACTACATCTGATTTTTTTTCAGATAGCGAATGATGGCAGTAACTAGTAGGAATTAAGAACAAACCTACTCTATACAATAAAGAAATTACGGCATAGTAACTAAGAAATAAACCTACACTATACAATAAAGGATTTAAGGTATATTACATCCACTGGGCATCCAAGTTCGCCACCAGTGATCATAAAGCGTAACGAAGAAGCAGATTACAAAAACTGGGCACCATTGCAGCGTAACAAAATAATACTGAACCGAGACCACTTCCAAGACAGTTCAAGAAAGGTTAGCCTTGCGGTGGAACTGCTGCGCAAGCTGCTAAGCAAGGCTATGAGACCGGCCTAGCATGTCGGTCATAGCTTCCAGGTGTAGCTGTTTAGCAATGAGGTTCTCATTGGTGTTCTGGGCAATCTTTCTTAGAGATAGGACTTCAAGTCAAAGTTGAGTTGCAGAATGCCTTTCTGCTAGAACTTGGGACTGAAGAAGTCGAACTGATTCAGACAACGAATTTTGTGAGCTTGTCTGACTGTTAGTCTCAAGTAACTTGAACACTGCATCAAGACAAGACTTTGGGGTTGTCTCGCTATCTTCAAGATGTTTTGCCTTCTTTGCTGCAATATATGTTGGGTTTGTCTCACAGCCTTCAGCAGACTTGTGCATGCCATCGGGCATACCGCCCTAAAACAAAGCAGAGAGATGACAGGTTTTGCACGTGTATAAACAAAGATGATAACTGTTATGTGAGTTCTATTCAATTTCAAATTAGAAAATAAAGAGTAAGTTCAAAATATCAATAGCATAATTTGGCATTGTTCATAATGCGGGGAGCTTCACCACACTACTAGATTACCATGTTAACATAACAAGCATAGATGAAGGGCAAAGAAAATCATTGTATCTATTTTGGATAATGTGCATGGCATGTTGTTCATATCATCAGCCACATCAGTAAGATAAAACAGGAGATGACAAGGTGCAAACGTGGGCTGCTTCACCACACACTGGATTATAGATCCACAAAACCAAGCATACATACAGGGAGTATTAAGTAATGTGCATGGTATGAATAAGAAATTTGGTTTTACAAGTAAAACTTAGAACTTACGGTTCTTACGAATATGCATTTTGGTAGAAACAGCAAACTAAATAGCAGTAAACGACGGGGAGTATGAGCAAATTAAACAGCAGTTGAGGATAAAGGCTTTAGAAGGACTGACTTACATTAACAGTTAACACCGGCTTTATAATGCCCTTCTCCATGTCAAGGGAAGGATAACTCAAGAATTTCAGCACAGAGTCTTCTTCATAAGCATTGCCTGTACTCTACATTTTATAGAGAGTAATTATAGATATGATAATACTGGAAGGGATAGAGGATAATGAAGATAAGATGCAGATTGATGCTACATAATCAACTACCAATCCCTGGAAGTACAAGCGTTATAGGACAAAATGTACTGACAAGAGCAATGGGCTACACTTCTGCACTGGCATTGTCTGTGTATTCTACTTGTTGGTAAGATTAAATATAGATCTGATCTTTTTTAGTAAATGGTGGGCGAGGGAGATAAGATGCAGAATGCTACAAAATGAACCAATCCCTCTTCTCATAATACAAGAGTGTTTTGAACATTGGTGTACTCTACAAAACGTTCTTATATTATGGGACGGAGGGAGTAGCTGTTAATGTAAGTATAGTGATAGACCACGTTCAGTCATTACAAGAGGACTGCAGAGCTAAACCTCTTCAAAAGCATTGGGTTGATTCTAAATTTGTGTAAGAGTCCATACGGATCTTATAATGTCCACCAAATGGACGATTACGAGGCTAACATGTGCAGTGATGCTACATAATCAAACAACTATGAAAGTAAGTATGGTCATACAGGGCAAGAGGTACTCACAAGAGCAATGTAGTGTGCAGTATAGTTGCGAGATTCTGTGGTCCCTTGAGAACGAATGTTCTTCTGCTAACAGTTTTCGTACAAGTGAGACATTAAGGCAAATGCAGAAATGTA